GTGTTTAGTGCTGTATTCTGTGATGTGTGCAGAGTTATTCCTCAGTTTGAAGCTAAATGTAAGGTGTTTAGTGCTGTATTCTGTGATGTGTGCAGTTATTCCTCAGTTTGAAACCAAATGTAAGATGTTTAATGCTGTATTCTGTGATGCATCCAGGGTTGTTGCTTAGTGTGGAGCTACAAGCAAGTTTTTTAATATTGTATTCATAGGAACAATTTAGTTTAAGGGTGTGTATGTGTGAGTTGTTTTTAAACGGTTGATACTTTAACACCAATAGTTCTTTATGTCTTTGTAATGACATGATGTCTGTAAAGTTCCAACTTTATTGTGATAGGCTGAAGAATCAACTCCCGTATCGCGTAGCGGAGCTTCACGTGGGAGATCCCTGGAAGAACCACATGTTGGAAGATACAGGCTTTTAAAAACAATAGGAAAAGGAAATTTTGCAAAAGTGAAGTTAGCTAAACATTTGCCAACTGGAAAAGAGGTAGGATCATAAAGAAATATTTGACGTTCACTTTTTGTGAGGAATAAGTGTGATCGTATTACCAAATATTTTAGTTAATTGTTCAGTAGAGATAAATAATAAAAAATTAATAAAGGTAGGGTCATAAAGAAATATTTGACGTTCACTTTTTGTGAGGAATAAGTGTGATTGTATTACCAAATATTTTAGTTAATTGTTCAATAGAGATAAATAATAAAATAAAAACATTAATAAAGAAGTATCTTCAAAGTTGTGATGTTTTCAGTAAAGAGAAATTATGAGAAACAAATCAAAGTAAGGGAATATGTTTAAAACTTGCCGACTAAAGAGATAAAATTCAATGTTTTGAAGTGTCTTCGTATAAAACCAAGACATGTGAACCTTTTTTTCGTTCTTGCCTGATTGGTGTGGGTGTGTATTTTGTCATGCAGAATATAGTTAAATTGTATTAAAATATAAGACTGTCATAGTAAACATATATGATGAGAGAGGAAAAGCTATAACTATTTCGTATAACTTTTAGCAAATTATACAAGTAACCCTACATATTTATAACTTGTATGTATGGTCATCTTAGTTTTTTATTATAAACATGTGTATGTTCTAATTATTATTAGTTACTACTTTAGATCTCAAATATGAATGAATCAGACTTTTAGTACAAAAATAGATGTTTAATAGTGGTTCAGTTACCAATTATTGTAGATTTGTTACTTTAAAATCATTATCCCCCAACTCAGGTGTCAAAAGCCTTTTACTAGTATTATAGGTAAATTGGTTCTTTATTCATATTCTGAATATTAGAAAAATATATAGTTTAATTAAATTTTGTTAAGGAGTGAGTCGTTAGTTAAGTTGAGAAGTCAGGGTAACTTGTTTCTCAATAAATTGTATTTCATATCTTAACCACTAGTTTGATTGGCTTGCTTAGTTAGATACCAAATACATTATATAGTCAAGAATGTTGCCATTGTAGGAACTGATTTATATTGAGGTGGGAAAATTTGTAAATATGGCTTCAAAGATGTATTACAAAAATCTTGTTTTAAATTTCTACAAATTCTGTTAGGTGTGAAAAGTTTTTGAGAGTTTCAATTAAAATGCCAGAACTTGTTTGATATCGTATTAGAGCTGTAATGAGGAAAGCTGTCAGCTTCTGTCCTTGACCTTTTACAAAGTTTTAACTACAGTGAAAGACAGTGTCATAGAGTTTCCAGTGTTTATTTTAGCAATTTTTGAAGTTAATTTGAATCTTTATATATTGCAGGTAGCTATTAAAATAATTGATAAAACTCAGCTTAACCCATCCAGTCTTCAGAAGGTGAGAATTGCTTTTAAATTATTAAATTATCTTTCTTGTAAAATGTATTATGTTATGCTGTGCATACTTAAGAAAAAAATGTGTATCTGATTATTTTGATGCATTTAATTTGATTCACTAGATAACTACATGGGCATTGTTTTGAAACACAACAGCTGGAAATAAAGTTAAATGTTTGTGTAGATACAACAGATTTAATTGTTCAGTCACAAATGCTGATATGATTGTGAAAAATCAGACTTTTTATTTCGGTATTAAACGTTAAGATAAATGTGTGTAAATTGAAATAATATTTTATAAATTACCGTTCGATATTTAGTTGTGTATTTCTAATATTGTTAACATTATGAGGAACTTTTAAGAAGTTGGTCATTTGTTCTAAACCAGTGGATCCAGATTTCTGCAACCAAATCTCAAGAATTAGAGCAAACAAAAGTAAAAGCAGTGAAGCTGTAGCATTATTCTACAATCAGATCTCAGGAGTTAAAGCAAGTAAAAAATAAAAGCAATAACAGGAGTACCACTTATGAACCTATATGTTAAAAAAAGAAATGAAATCCTTATCTTACTTAATTATTATTTGTTGTGTATTTAAAACTCTATTAAACACAAAGGTTCAAGTTGCTCTTTTTTATTTCTCATCATATTGATTTCAAACCATGATAAACTTCAAAAATATCCAAACTCAAATGGAATGATATGGTCCACTACAGTATTTTAGGCTTAGTTTTGTGCTCATTTTGTCTCTGATTATATGATAATGATCAGGTTTATTATCTCTTGTAATAGCTCTTAAGGGGTGCTAGTTAACCCCTGTCAAAAAACAAACAAACCTGTGCTTCAGCGATAAGTTTGAGTACCTGTGGTGTGCATAGCACATAAAACCCTTTGTGTAGCTTCGTGCTTAATGACGAAAAAAACACAAAAGTATCATATAATTTGTTGTGTCTCTTTTAGATATGTTTTCATTCCTATTTTTATAGTAATTATCTTTGTTGAACAAATGCTGTAATGAACCTGTGCATGCTTATTTAAGTGTTTGTATTAAACAAAATGTTCAAGTGCAACTAAAAATATGGGTAGTCTTGTAAAAGGTAACTTGTAGTTAATTTTTAAATTATCTTGAGAAATTATTTTATTTGATGCCATGGTGTTAATATATTATTTTTTCCCTAGTTATTTAGGGAAGTGAAGATAATGAAACTACTAGACCATCCTAACATAGGTATGTGATAATTGATTTAATTGGACTGCTTGACCATCCTAGTATGGGTATGTGGTAAATGTTTTAATTAGACTGCTTGACCATCCAAGTATGGGTATGTGGTAATTGTTTTAATTAGACTGCTTGACCATCCTAGTATGGGCATGTGGTAATTGATGTAAGTGGACTGCTTGACCATCCTAACATGGGTATGTGGTAATTGATGTAAGTGGACTGCTTGACCATCCTAGTATGGGTATGTGGTAATTGATGTAAGTGGACTGCTTGACCATCCTAGTATGGGTATGTGGTAATTGATAATAAGTGGACTGCTTGACCATCCTAGTATGGGTATGTGGTAATTGATTTAAGTGGACTGCTTGACCATCCTAACATGGGTATGTGGTAATTGATGTAAGTGGACTGTTTGACCATCCTAGTATGGGTATGTGGTAATTGATGTAAGTGGACTGCTTGACCATCCTAACATGTGGTAATTGTTTTAATTAGACTACTTGACCATCCTAGTATGGGTATGTGGTAATTGATGTAAGTGGACTGCTTGACCATCCTAGTATGGGTATGTGGTAATTAATGTAAGTGGACTGCTTGACCATCCTAGTAT